GTAGATTGGAAATGGTCATGTGAACGGGGTTACACACATAGTTTTACAGTATGGTGTGGTAGGCAACCTTTGGATAATCATATCTTGATCCACTGTTTTTCCCAGGTTGCCCAACCTACACATGACAAATAGGGGCAGAAGTTAGTCTCTATTTGGGCAATCAGGATCAGTAGATCTTTTACTGGGACATAAGTATTTATCATTAAACCAATAAGTTCGTTCCCATTTAAGATTACCACATACATTCCAAAGTCTTCCACTACCCGAAATCGCCTTACATGCATCAAATAGCAGAATACCCGTGGAATGTATGGTGCTTATCACAGTCCTATTTATTAATGTCCCCTGGGAGTTACTATTCCGAATTACCAACCAAATTGTACGGGGTTGGAATTGGGGATCAAAACATTTAGACTCTCCTGATATTGGCTTGCACACACTATAATCAATATCCAAATATTGAGCATATATATATAGATACAGATCCCTTACATTCATACTGTGAGTGCCAGATGAGAGTTTGGGATATTTGGGCATATATATTTAGATACAGATCCCTTACATTCATACTGTGAGTGCCAGATGAGAGTTTGGGATATTTGGTTACCTGTTTTAGTAGTCTTAATGCAACTATCTCAATTCGGTATGTCTGTACTCCTACCTTCCTGAAAAATCATAAAAATACTAAGACACAATAAAACACATTATTCCTGAAATCCTCATTTTTCTTCAACCGTGCGATGGCCTCTCAGCTTCCCGATTGTGAGGGCTGCAAGGATGTTGTTCTTCTGATCCTCACTTTCCTTCACAGAGATCCCTTCAAGATACTCTGGCTATGACACCTAGGCAGGTGGTCAGGCTTTATTATGGCCGTCAAAACACCTACTTGATGATCTTTGTAAACTTAACTAGAATGTCTCGCTATCCCCTCGTCACTCCGACTGAGTTGCACGCTTCAACCGGGTCCTGCAAGGATTCTCAGGATCTGGAGTAGTTTGCCAAGAGTCTGCTGCTGGTTTAACCTTAGAATGATGAATCCAAGGAGTCACTTCCGCCACCTTTACAGCTATTGGGGTAGATAAAAGAACAACATACAAAGGCTAACAGAATACACCCCGAGCTTTAACTCAATATGTATTGGTGGGATATTACGAGCAAGTCCTGGAGGATTATTTTCTTCCCATACTCCTGGAATGTCAAATAAGGATTCATCACTCTTAGGGTTAATACTTGTCACTATGGAATAGAAGCGTCCTTCTTCTTCCCTTGGCACCGATATCGCCATTATGCCTGGTAATCCCTTAAACTTCAGAGATGTTGATCCATTAGGTAAAAGGTTATCTGAGCTTAAAGCTTCGATAATAGATCTCGTCCTAAAAGTTGAATCGGACACTCTGGCATATATAGGAACTAATGCTTCACCACATGGCCTCCCAGAATACAAGTGCGACTCTTAAGAACCGGTCTAGCTGCACTTCTCCCAGTAGCTCGTATCACAGTTATAGTCTTCCCCGAAGGCGGAGCCACCATCTTAGTCACCACAGAATGTTCAGCACCTGTGTCGATCATGAAAGAACTTCTCTTTCCCCCTATTGCTACATCGACCATAGGCTCCGCTCGACCAAGTGGGATGGAGCCCAGTCGGTATCAATAGTCTTCCCTGATAGTGTCAGCCAGACCCACAAAATCTCTATCCTCTCTTTCTCTAGGTCTCTGCGTGGGTGGATAGTATCTGTCTCCTTGAACACTTTCTCTACTATTCCCATCATTCCCTCTAAAACTTCCTCTTACTCTATAACTACCACTATAACCTCCTCGTACCCTTCTCTCTCCTTGTCTATCACCTTCATACTGCTTTCTCTGTGGACACTCACTCTTCCAATGTCCCTCCTTTCTACAATACGCACATTAATTCCTACTTAAAGTCCCTTGCTCAGCCTATTCTCGTCTCCTCTATTCACTTCCCTGCCTTTCTACACTTAAGATAGCTACCGCTAGCATATCTGCCTTTTTCCTCATTTTACGTTCTTCCTCCATCTCCCTATTCATATATACTGTATTTGCAATCTCCATTAGCTGTAATATGGACATCCCTGCAAATCCCTCTAATTTCTGTAATTTCCTTTTAATATCACCTTGGGCCTGGCTGACAAATGCTGAGTCTATCATTCGGAAGTTTTCAGGGGCTTCAGGATTGAAAGGAGTGTACAATCTATTTGACTCAAGCAGTATCTAACATGGGACTTCGGCAAGGCTGCTCAATAATAGGTTCCAGTCTAGGAGTAGTAAGATAGGTGTAAGGGGGTGAGCTAATTTTATTAGTCGGCATTTGGTGGATGAAAAAACGTTTTTGTTTAAAGTGTTAAACCAAAAACCTACCAGTAGGTGTCACCAGAGGGTAATTGTATCAAAATAATCTTTATGGGTCTAATAAGAAAACTCAACTTTTAATATATTTATACATAAAATAAAACCTTATAGCAATAAATATATTAAAATAGGGTAAGTAATCCTACTTCTATCTGTTATAAACAATGTATTATCAATGTAACTCCCGAAGATGGCCAGTAGGTGGCCAAGAGTGCCTCCCTAAAGTCTAATGAAGCAGATAGACTTTAATTAATTATGTCCCTATTTTATTATTACTTATTTTAATCACTGTCCACCCCGATAGCTAGGCTTGATTAAATCTTTAGTTCTAAGGTAAATTAAACATTTCAGTTTGTAGTTTAGTAAAAGGGGACATTTTGGACAAAGCTGGGAGGGGCCCATCCAGTAACTAAAAAACCAATATACCATCTGATACCATTGATCATTGATTAGGGGGAGGGGTAGTACAGAAATACAAGAGTTTGAAACACAGGAACAGATAGGTATGTGGGTAGGCGGGGACAGTAGAGCAGGGGGAGTGCAAATACTGACTATATACCAGTTCTTAGCTTGGGAAGAAGAATAGGGGCGTGGCTAATCTGGCTCTGGAGGATGTTTGGGGGGTTGGTAATCAGATGCCAGGGGGGGAGGGGATATCCAAAGCAGTTGTAATCAAGGCCTTAGTTCTGACCACCATATGGCTACATTGTTTCTCATATGACACAGTTTAATTCACCAAGGCAGTTTTTCAACAATCAGTTTCCAACAGTCAATATATAGAAACTGATCATAGAATTCCGGCCTACTAGTTACAGCCACATGTACACCCTGCACTAATTTTAAGTGAAAACTGCTACATGGAGGCCATGCGGCCACCAGGACAGGCTACTCCCTACTCTTTTTTTTTTTTTTTTGAAGACATACAAGACAAAAGACTAACAGCCTAGTGAATCAGAAGATTATTTCAACAGAACGTCTGATTCAAAAAGCTGTACAAATATACACACAGTTACAACAGTCACACCAATCTCCTTATCACCAGCAACACATTGCGCAGTCACTAGGCCCAAACACACACACAGGATCCTCACATGCTCAACAATATCACGACCTCGCACACACGAAATTAAATCAAAAACCCACCAAAGACTATACACTTATCAATGTAACTATTATTCAAACCATACAACTATCCACGCTATTAATCCATATAAACTAACCGATCACATAACATTTCAACAAATTCATCTCTACAATTATCCGTACTATAAATCAACTTTTGACTAACCAACGATATCACATTCTAGTAACCTCATCTTTACAGTCAGTGGTTATGGTACAGTTAGTAAGTGGTTATAATACAGTTTTAAAGTCACAGATCAGTTAGTAACAGTTATGGTATTATACATATAACATAAAACAGCAATTGTTAGTAATTTTTACACAATGTCAGTGGTTATGGTACATGTCAGTAGTTATGGTACCGGGCGCTATTTTACAGTTATACACACAATTTACACTCCCACTAGACAGCAGAGCTCTAACTTTCTAGTAGGACATACAAGTTAACCAATTCACCAACTACAATATATTTAACAACATTTACAATAATCCCAACTATTCTAACTGGCCAGCACCTCAAGAGCTTTCGATCTATTTATACACCAGAGATTCGATAAGTTCTTCGCTGCCCAGACACCACGTATAGCGAACTAGAGGGCAGAATTTACACAGTACCCAGCTAGTCTATTAAACTATCAATAAGCTAGTGGCTGGATTTACAACAGAGCACACTTAGTTAAGATAGGGTGAAATCTAGCAAACTATAATATACAACAGAGTATGCTAGTCTCCTGGTCCCCCCGACCTAGCGAACAAAATTTACACCCTAGATACGCTAGTCAAGACAGGACACCGGTGTCCGACATGAGCTATTTACACCAGAACTCAGTCTGACCCAAACCACCTATATTAGACGGGCTGACTACAGAGCGTCTCATTTCCAGATAAGTGTTGCGCTTTTCACTTCTTCCATCCATAAGGACAGGGCAGATTCCAATAACCGGTTCCAAATATAAAACCCCTTGTGGGTCTACCGCTCTAACGGTATCAATCTTACCTGTTAATTCCTGGACCTGGGTTCACTCATAGACGGAACAATCCGGGACTCACTGCGCAGAAGCCGATGATCTCCTGGACAAAAGGCCAGTGGCGCGAGACGAAAGGAGGTCCACGCAGTAGAAGTCCAGGATTGTAGCGTAGAAGGTTTGGTAAAAGTTTACCGTCTCAAATCTCTGCGCTAGCTTCCATGCGATGAGGTTCCCGGCCGCCAATGCACCAGAAATGTTGCAGTGTAAGCATGCAGAAGCCAAACACAGAAATATTGGACACAGGTCTTCAGGAAGTAACAGGCCTTTATTCACATTACCGATCGGGTCTCAGATGAACTCCTGTTCCAACATTCTGAGAGACCAACACATAGTGTACATTCCTTATATAGCACTATAACTCCTCCCATTAATAGCTACCCCCACATATACCTTTAACCAATCAATGAGCAGAATATAGACTTGTACATCTAGTCAAACCACATGGCTCATCCAAGACAAAGGAAATAAGTGCAATTTCAGTTCCTGCATTCCTGCACATGCTCAGTACACTGATGACAGTATCCTAGCTACATGTAGCTAACCAACTGACACAATATACACATATGCCACATGGAGATTTTGGCCTACTAAATTTTGACCATGCTGGAAACCCATCACAACAGGACTTGCCCTGGCACCCAGGACTTACCCCAGCACAGAGACTGCACTCACAGGACTTGCCCTGGCACCAAGAACTTACCCCAGCATGGAGACTGCACTCACAGGACTTGCCCTGGCACCCAGGACTTACCTCAGAATGGAGACTGCACTCACAGGACTTGCTCCAGCACCAAGAACTTACCCCAGCACGGAGACTGCACTCACAGGACTTGCCCTGGCACCCAGGACTTACCTCAGAACGGAGACTGCACTCACAGGACTTGCCCCGGCACCCAGGACTTACCCCAGCACAGAGACTGCACTCACAGGACTTGCCCCGGCACCCAGGACTTACCCCAGCACCGAGACTGCACTCACAGGACTTGCCCCGGCACCCAGGACTTACCCCAGCACAGAGACTGCACTCACAGGACTTGCCCTAGCACCCAGGACTTACCCCAGCACAGAGACTGCACTCACAGGACTTGCCCCGGCACCCAGGACTTACCCCAGCACGGAGACTGCACTCACAGGACTTGCCCTGGCACCCAGGACTTACCCCAGAACGGAGACTGCACTCACAGGACTTGCTCCAGCATCCAGGACTTACTCCAGCATGGAGACTGCACTCACAGGAGTTGTCCCTGCACCCAGGACTTACTCCAGCATGGAGACTGTACTCACAGGAGTTGCTCCAGCATCAATGACTTACCCCAGCACAGAGACTGCACTCACAGGAGTTTCTCCAGCACCCAGGACTTACTCCAGCACGGAGACTGCACTCACAGGAGTTGCTCCAGCACCCAGGGCTTACCCCAGCACTTATATTGCACTAACAGGATCTAGCACCCAGATCTTACCCCAACATGGATACTGCACTCACAGTGAGTCACTGAGGAGAAGTTAAACTTTATCAAGCACCACAACAGTCCTGACCATCTGTCAAAGTTTCTATATTGAACATACTCTATGTGGCGTGTCCTCACCAACTGCCTCGCAGAGCTGGCGGCAAGATATTATTCCCTCTCTACATTCAGGCAGGAAACTGCATGCAGAAACAGAAGCAGCGAGGTCTGTGCTGGAGGAGGTGCAGTCCTGTGCTCCTGGGTGCTGCATATATTGCTCAAAGAACTGAGCTGTTGGTGGTGGCTCCTATAACATAAATAATGTCAGTGATTTTTGCCCTCAGGACTATTTTGATCCCTAGGCAACACCAGCTACTTGTAACCCCCAAAAAACAAAGAATTGCCAACTTTGTGTGTCACTTTCTTCCCCCAGCCCTCTCGTGTGTCTCTTTCTCCTCACCTCCTTTGTGTGTCTTTTTGCTCTGAATCCACACAGTGTCTTTCTTACTTCCAGCTGCTCTCTGTGTCTTTTTGTCCCCTACATTGCCCACTGTTTCTCTTTTCAGTCTGTGTGTCTCTTTGTCCCCCCAGCCACTCTGTGTGTCTCTTTTGTCCCCCTGGCCCCCTGTGTGTCTCTTTGTTCACCTAGCCACTCTGAGTCTCATTCTCCCCCCAGCTCCACTGTGTGCCTCTTTGTCCCCCCTCATCCCCTCTGTATCTCTTTTTCCCCCCAGTCTCACTGTGTGTCTTTGTGTCCCCTTCCCCAAAGCTCTCTATGTGTCTCATTGTCCCCCCAGACCTTTTTTGTGTCTCTTTTCCCCCTTAGCTATTTGTTTGCCCCTTTGTCCCGCCCCAGCACTCCGTGTGTCTCTTTGAACATCCTGTCAGACTGGGTAGCAGATACAGAAGCTCTTCTAACATGGTCCGCTACTCAACGACGCTACATGCAGTGACTGGCAAGAAGGGAGCGCTGTGCCGTGCGCTCCCCTCCTGCAGGTTCTTAGGATTGTGCCTTCCTTGGCCTGCAACTCAGACAGGGGCCGGTTTCACCAACCCCTAAGTACGCCCCTGCAGGAGTGCCAGCTAACATTGCCCCCACCCATATTACTTAGTTTACCTTACTATAGTGCTATCTAACTGGCCTTCACCCTGCCCACTTCCTTTACCTTACTGGAGTGCCACCTAATGGTGCCCTTACCCTTAATGCACTGGACTCCCTTGTATTATGCATAACTTTGACCAGACAAAATTTCCCGTCATGTTTTTCAGTTGACCACTTTACCCATCAGCCATCTCTTCTAGCATTGTGTGCACTGAATTCAATGGCTCTTCAATGTGAAGCTCAAGAAGAGTTTATGGAAGCTACGTCTTGTAGACTCTTCCAAATGGATCTTCACTTTACTCTTGCTGTTTATAAAGGTGCTCTGGACAGGGAAACTTGGTGAATGATTTTCTTTTACATTTACCTTCCCCCAAGCTTAACTTGACATCACTGATGATTTTATTTACAAAGCGCATAACATATTCAGTAGTGACAGATCTGCTTTAAAATACTTTCAGATGGACAGATTTTGTCTCTAAGTGAGTTTATATAACATGACATTACTGCAAAGGGAAACTCGCTTCATTTACTAAGGATGTCCCCTTAATGAAAGCAAGTAAATGCTGATGGTGATGTCGTTCTATGCACCGTTTTACCTATCCAGTTTTATTCTTTTGAGTTTGCTTGTTTCCGAAGCATGTCTAAAAACTAATATTTTGTGTGTTAGCAGTCACCGTCGGCATTGCATAAATCTATTTGTACCTAATGTCAGTTAACTTAATTCTCCAACATTTCTTTCATATTTTTTTAAGGCATTTTAATTTCCATTTTGTAAAACACTGTGCTCCTGGCGCATGCATAGCAAATCCAGTAGAAGCCTTCGTTTAACTGACTTATTCACCGCAAACCCTTGTGGCGCTAAAAAGGTCAATGTAAGGAGATGCACAAACGCTGCTCCCGGTGATGTTTGTGTCACTTCTGTTTGCTGAATATTCTAATTGTAATTTGCCCCTTAGAGATAATCAGAGGATTTGAAAACTTCTAATCTGTACGCTCTCTGACAAGCACAAGGCTGTAGCATTTTACAGATTCCTATTAACAGCGTGTGCGACAAGGAGTCATCGAGTGTAAAATGGTCAGAGGCTGGGTTTGTCTTTTAGAGTTTTTGTAGACTGGACTAGGAAGATTAGACCATGAGTAATGAGCGATCTTCTGTGCACAACACATACAACATGTGCCCGTTTCATAAGGTCTATCTCTTTTCATAAACACATGGTGCTGGAATGTAAATATCATAGAACTAGTTTATCTGAAAATGTATTATTTTAACAACAAAGTATACTTGTTATTGATTGAAAGAGAAAGGGTTATCTGTGAAATCAGTAAATGATAAATATTGATCAGCGAATTGGGAATGTCATGTAAAAATAGTCATATTAGAAAAAAAATTAAAAAAAAGAGAAAAAAAAGAGATAAGGTCTCTTGATTAGGGAATATCCAACTGGTGGGGGACTAACCCTAATTTTAGAATGCAAAATATGTTCCAAAGGAGAGGAACCGAACGAGTTGGATGACCCTTTAAAAATAGAGCCTATAACTTTAAAGTGAAAATCCCCAAATCACAACTTGCATTAATCTGAATTTATTGATGAGCGATCAATTAAAAATAAAAATGTTATAGTCTGTCAAGAGAGCATAGACTGCTAGATAAATGACAGCCGCTTGAAACTAACCACTACCTGAACCTTAAAATGCTGCAATCTGATAACCCAAGTGCTCCATAGAAATTAGGCCCAAAAAGGAAAACCAAATAACGAAGTGAAAAACGCGTAAAAACGCTGACAGACTAGCCAGCTAGCGTTCCTTTAGATATCGGGATCCCAGCAACCTTTACTTAATTCTATGCAGGATAGATATATAGCTTATCTTACCGCTTATTATCAGTAAGGATTTACATTAAGTAGGATATCAGAACCGCGAGTTGTGTATATTGGGTGTCGATATAGCTTATTGTTTCATACTTGCTCTATACATTATCTAAACAAGACCTACTTTCCCAACCTATACTATTGTCCTGCGTAGGAAATCTCTATTTCACTCTACAGCGCACTACTACCGCTACATTATTGCTACTTAGTTGGAAGGGGTGTTACCTCGATACATTTATTGAAACAGTTTCCCTGTTTCCTAACTATCCATCTTTACAAGGTTGTTACTGAGGTACATTCCGATCCATTGTTATAATCTTCCAATGAGGTGGTGTGTTTAACCTTTTCATGAGACATTTAGTAGACATACCATCTGACATTTATCCTAGCACCTAATAAAGGATTTCCCCATATATATTGGCATAGGTTATGTTATGGTTTTGTCTTTTAGACAATTTTTATTTTTAATTGATCGCTCATCAATAAATTCAGATTAATGCAAGTTGTGATTTGGGGATTTTCACTTTAAAGTTATAGGCTCTATTTTTAAAGGGTCACCCAACTCCTTTCATATTAGAAATAAGTTTACAATTTTACAGCTCCGATATTTGGGACTAAAAGTCTCCTTCCTGACAGTTCACATTTTAGTGAATTGCCATATTAGTATCACTTTTATACTTTCCTCAATGGAGCATTTTAATGTATATATTACAGTATATACTCGAGTATAAGTCTAGTTTTTCAGCACATTTTTTGTGCTTAAAAACCCCCACTCGACTTATACTCGAGTCACTGTCTGTATTATGGCAACTTAGAGAGCCGCGGCCGTCAGAGCCGTGGCAACAATCCGCGCGGCAACCAGACCGCGAGACTTACAGTGGAGCTGACCGGAACGGAGGAGAAGGGAGCTGACAGGAGCTGCAGGAAAGGTAAGTAAATGCTTCCTGCCG